ATGCCCTTGATGATTACACATCACCAGTGTGACTTAAGAAAGGGACATGGTTCCTATTGCTTGCAGGTGAACAGGGTTTTGCTCACTCAATCTTCCAGTCCCATTGACTTAAACAGCTGACTTTAATTTCCCCTTCAAATAAAATGATAATCCTAGAGATTCATGTACTTTTGACATACACAAATATATAACTTTGGACCATTTTCTTGACTTAATTTGTTTAATTGGGTTAACTCTTTATCTAATTTTAGGACTTGGGTGGAGAACAAACCACATTTTAGGTCATATGTATGCAGAAATATTGAAAATTCAAAACTTCACTGTACGTGGACTTGCCCAGATGGTTGTCAGGAGTCAAATCTAAGTTGAAAGCACAAAACCCCAAATAAAGCTGTATAAAGTGACTGTTACTGACTATTAGGGATGGTATTTTTTTTAATTTTTTTAAATTTGATTTATATGCTCCCCTTCTCCGGAGACTCAGGGCGGCTTACAATGCGCTAAGCAATAGCCTTCATTCTTTTGTATATTTATACAAAGTCAGTTTATGGCCCCCACAACTGGGTCCTCAATTTACCTACCTTAGAAAGGATGGAAGGCTGAGTCAACCTTGAACCTTGGCGAGATTCGAACCTGCAGTAATTGCAGGCAGCTGGTCTTAATAACAGGGTGCTTTAGACCACTGTACTACCAAGGCTATTTGATTGAAAGGCATGTGTCTTTTAATCAAGTGACTGTTTCTGACTATTAGGGATGGTATTTGATTGAAAGGCATGTGTCTTGGGAAAGTTGGCTACCAATAAAGAAAAAAATAGCATAACTCATTATAACACAGTCAGTTGAGCTCTGTTTAACCTTGAGTATATTTTTTATGATGAGCAGGAAACACAGTGTAAGGTAAACAACTTTGGTCTTAGGGGAAAAGGTCAACTAGCAATGAGATAATTTTCCCAGCTCAGAGATGGCTGATAAAGAGAACTTTGGGCAGCACAACAACGTTGTCCTGAAAACAGTGCTGTGTTTAATAGTTAACACATTGTCAGTGGGTTAGAAGATTTGTTCAGTGGTATCAAATCTGTGATGTAGTCCTGAGCTCAAGATGGAAAACCTGACAAGTGATGTATGCTTTTAGGGAAATCGTATTTCTTGCTGTTTCCCCCAAAGCAGTTTATTTAGCTGTTTAATTTATATCATGTCCAATTAACATGTGCTAGGTACTTTTTCTTGAGTATAATGTAGAACTATAAACAAAACTCTTTATATACTTGGTGCCAAAAACTATGAGCAGAATGGAACCTACCCTGAATTAGGATAGTTATCTATTTTGGATAAAAGAGAATTATATTGTAATCTGCTTCCTCTTAAGTATTTAATAGATTAAATAAACAATCCTTGGAAAGTTATGAATGCTATATTTATCATTTTAATATTCTAACAATATTCGGGCCACATTTTATGGTGAGGGATCCTTAGGGCATAACTTTAGCTTTAGAAAGAATTCTATCAGTGGTGGGTTTCAAAATTTTTTACTATTGGTTCTGTGGGTGTGGCTTGGTGGGCGTGGCATGGCTTGGTGGGCGTGGCTTAGTGGGCATGACGGGAAGGATACTGTAAAATCTCATTCCCTTCCCACTCCAGGGGAAGGATACTGCAAAATCCCCATTTCCTCCCGATTAGCTGGGACGTGGGAGACAGAGAATAGATGGGGGCAGGGCTAGTCAGAATTTTTACTACCAGTTCTCCGAACTACTCAAAATTTCCGGTTCTCCAGAATAGGTCAAAACCTGCTGAAACTCACCTCTGGATTCTATCAATATAAAGAATGCTTTTGAAAACTTCAAAGGTATGCCTTTGAAAGTTTCAGCATTACTTAGTTTGATTTTTTTAAAAAATTTTTTAGTAAGGGCTATAAATGTCCACCTAGATTAAGGCATCTAATTTTTAAATCGAGATTAAAATATGAAAAACATATGTAGTCTGGATGTATGTGTGTTATATTAAATATATAACTTTTGGGATGTTGATCAGCGCTGCCTAGTTACCTCTTTAAATGTTTATGATGTACAATTTTTCAGGAACCAGGAACTCTTCAATTGCAATACAATAAATTTACCAAATGGTGATTTTGACAATGGATGGTTACAATCCATGGCCTGCTTCACACAACATGCTAAGCTATAACTGATTTTGGTTCTTTGTGACAGTGGTGGGTTGCTCCCGGTTCGCACCGGTTCGCAAGAACCGGTAGTAACAAATTTTAGTAGTTCGGAGAACCTGTAATAACATTGGCTGGCCACGCCCCTGAACCGTTCCCGGCCCGGTCGCCGCTTGCTTATCCTGCCCACCATCATTGCCCGCATTCAGCCCTGGGACTCCACCCTTTACCAGCCAGGAGCGCTGCCGCCATTCGCTCCTGTGCACCCGGCTGCCTGCCTGCCTCGTCACCGCCACCGTGAGGAAAGGCCCCGAAGTTGCGCTGCCTGGGATCCACATGGGCTGCCGCAGGGAGAAGCCAGGTATGGCTAGCTGGACGCTGTCCAGAGCTGAGCTCAAGGCTGGCAGGAGGAGGAACGTTGCCTCTTAGCCGGCTCGAACTGTCTGCTGCTGCAGCCTGCTGCCATCCCCTCTCCGCTGCCAGCTGCTTCTGCCACTGCCAGGGAAGCGGCTGTGTGAGAACCGCTGCCGCCAAGGGCAAGGGGGCAGTGGTGGCAAGGATGGCCGGTCCAGGGCTTCCTTGTCTCCTCGTCTGAGCAGACTTCTGGCATAGCCCCAGGCCTCCGGAGGGAGGGAGGGAGAGAAGCCCTGGCCTGCTGCTCCTGCCGCCACCACCCTGTTGCCCCCAGCAAGAGTGGTTCTCATGCTGCCGCTTCTCTGGCAGCACCAGGAGCATCTGCCGGGGCAGAGAGGGCGGGGCAGTCTGTGGTGGCAGGCCGTTCTTGCCGGGTAACAGACAGGCTGCTCCTGGAGCAGGCAGGAAAAGGAGAAGCCACCAGCAGGGAGGCGAGCTGCCCCAGGAGGACTGAAGGAGAGCGCAGCTCCTCACTCATGGAGATCCACCAGCAGGGAAGTGGTCACGGAAAGCAGTAAGAAATGCTTAAGCCAGGAAATGGTCATGCTCCCTGGCCGGAGAGGGTTGCACGTTCACTCTAGCAAAGGTTTCTGCAACCCTCTCCGGCCAGGGAGCTTCCTGGCCAGCACACCTCTTATCGCGCCCACTTCCCCACCGGTAGATCTCCATGAGTGAGAAGCTGCGCTCTCCTCTGGTCCTCCTGGGGCGGCTCGCCTCCCCGCTGGCAGCTTCTCCTTCTCCTGCCTGCTCCAGGAGCAGCCTGAGACTCTGATTTTCTTGGCAAAGCACTTCATTATTGCAGGGCAGGGGATACGGGCGCCGCTGGGGGATCCGTGCAGCTACTATCCCACCCCTCCTCAGCCTCGGCCAGGCCACGAGGCTCCAACTCGAGGAGGAGAAGACAGAGGAAGAGTGGGGGGAGTCTGGCCGTTCTCACCAGCTAAGAGAAAGGCTGCTCTCACAGCCTGCCCCTGCCCTCTCTCTCCAAAGTTCCACACGGCAGAGGCAGCGGTGCTTATCTGCTGAAAGCGCAGCCCTGGCTGCTGTTTCTGTCTCTTCTCCAACCACTCAGAGCCCTGCATAATAGTGCTGTGGCTTGCTCAAGGTAGCTGCCGTTTAGACTTTCTTCGCCCTCCTCTTCCTCCGTCTTCTTCTCCTCCTTGAGTTGGAGCCTCGCGGTGTGACTGAGGCTGAGGAGGGGTGGGATAGTAGCTGCACGGATCCCCTGGTGCTGCCCGTGTCCCCTGTCCTGCAATAATGAAGCACTTTGCCAAGGAAAGCAGAGTCTCTCTGGCGGGCGGGAGGCGAGATCTGGCATCGCAGGCATGGGAGACTGTGACAGCCAGGCAAGCCCATTCTCTCTTGGCTGCTTGGAGAAAACAGCAAAAAAGCCGAGGATGAGGAAGTTGGGAAGCCATGAAATGGGATTGAGGGAAGGGAGGGAATGGATAATTCAAGCAGTATATTGGTCTTTCCGTACAACGGAAGGAGCAGCTGACTGGGCTTCAGTCCCTTCCCCCGGAGGTCTGGGCCATGCCAAAAGCCCGCTCGGGCAGGGAGACAGAGAAGCCCTGGACTGCCTATCCTTGCTGCCACCACCCCCCTTTGCCCCCAGAAACAACAGTTCTCGTGCTGCCACTTCTCCGGCAGAACCCCCAGACCAGCTGGTGGGCCAGAGAGGGCGGGGGCAGGCTGTGGCCGTTCTTGCCAGCTAAGAGACAGGATGCTCCCACAAGTAAAAAAAAAAAAAAAGTAAAATAAAGGTTGGCCACCCCCACCCAGTCACATTACCCCCACAAGCCACACCCACAAAATAAGCCACACCACGCCCACAAAATAAGCCACGCCCACAAAAAATTTAGAACTCACCGCTACTTTGTGATGTGTACATGTCAGTTTGTACATTAAGCCCATGGGTCAGTGGATTTAGAACCAGTGCCATAGAATAGAATAGAATAGAATAGAATAGAATAGAATAGAATAGAATATGTTATTGACCAAGTGTGATTGGACACACAAGGAATTTGTCTTGGTGCATATGCTCTCAATGTACATAAAAGAAAAGATACATTCATCAAGAATCATAAGGTACAACACTTAATGATAGTCATAGGGTACAAATAAGCAGTTTAATACTTAAGGAGTTGGGTTAGGATTGGGGAGTTTCACATCAAATTCACTCTCAAGCCTGGAAACTCACTGTGAGACTTTGGTGGTCCACCATCTTCTTAGTCCAATCTTTGCTGCGGAGTCATTGTTAAAATGAAGAAAATCTCCCCATGTAAGTTACGTTCAAATGGTAGAAAAAAGCGGGATATTAATCCAACAATTTAAGGATAAAAATTAGAATAAGCTAATTTTGAATCAAAACTTTATCTATTGTACTCTTATCCCTAATCATTTAAAATCTATATTGTTTTCTTCATACTAGGTGATGCTGGAGCAAATATTATCCATGTCTCCAAAGAGGCCCGGAAGAGGTTTCTTGGCCCTTTACACCCATCCTTCAACCTGGTGAAAATCATCCGTGCCTGCTTATATAAAACCTTACCAAGCAAAGGACATGAGTTGGCCACCGGACGTTTGGGCATTTCATTAACCCGGGTTTCGGATGGAGAAAATGTCATATTATCCGAGTTCAACTCCAAAGAAGAGCTTGTCCAGGCAAGTTGTAACTGTGGGGCTTTCTAGGAGCTTTCAACATGAAGCCATAAATGCCTTATCTCCCAGGAACCAGTAGAGCTGATATGACCTATTCTTGTCATGGAAGTTCTCCTTTCTTTCTTCATGCTCTGCCTGGATTTATCTTCTGCAAATATTGCAGGCTTCTCTAGTCAGTTCATTTATTTTACATGGTGTTTTCCCATCTCTCCTCCAGGCATGTGTCTGCAGCACTTTCATCCCAGTATACTGTGGCCTGATCCCTCCAACTCTTCAAGGAGTGGTAAGTAAGCACCAGAGTGTTTTAACTTTCAGCTGTTTGGTATTGTATGACAAGAGCCTGTTTCTGATTTTCATGCTTCATCAAGAGGGAAAGGGAAAACCTGGAGACTAGGGAAGATGACATGATATGCTTCATAATTCTGGCAAAATAATCAGAACAATGTACAGTTGTAATCAAACTATTCTCAAAAGACTGGTTTTTTTTCTTGATTGCTGAGATCAAGCACTATAGATCTGATGTTTGGAAGGGAAAAAACAAAAAGGGGAGAAAACAGGACTTTTTTCCAAAAAACTGGAAAAGAAGAAAAGAAATAGTATTGCAATAGTGGTGAATACCTTTAACTTGGGTGTAGGATGTGGGTGAAGGTTTGGTCTCTGACTTGTGGGTTGGTTTCCGAACGTTTCATTAACCAGGCTAGGTAATATTTTCAGCGGAGTTTAAGGGAATAGTTTTATTTGTAGTATCACATTTACCTTTCTGGACTATAATGTTTATAGACATAATGTATATTTAGCAAAAGTTAACTTAGGTTTAGTAGAATTAAGCCAAAATGTGTTGCTCTCAGTGTTTGCTTTTCTTTGTTGAGTAAGTATTGATCAACAGTTTTGGAGGAAACACCTGTTGCCACAAAGGAAATGTCACAACACTTTATTGAAGTTGAAGCGCTGCCTGGACTAGGATGTCAATGACCAAACGTGGAACTTTGATGTCACAAAGGGAGTCCTCACAGTGCATATAATGGTCTTCAGCATTGCCATGAGTTTGTTTTAAAACTTAGTAAAAACATTTTTTGGGTGTACCAAAGCAGAAAATAAAATATATTCTGTTAGGGCTTGGAGAGAAACTTGGGCTATTTTTGAGGGTTGGGGTTGAAACTTTTAATTAGTTTATCAGAATATAAAATACAAAGGAAAATAAAAATAATGGGAACTAGGGGACAGGAAAAGGAAAAAAGAGAGAGTGGGGTAAAAAAGGGAAAAATAAAAAAAGTATTGATTTTCAACTTTCTTTAGCCCAGTATAAAATAATAACATTACAACCTCAAATTTTTATTTTTATACAATAATATATACTAGCCATTTCTATAACAACAAATCTATCTAATCAGCAAACCCAAAATTTCATTTTTCCATCATAAGTACAAAATCTAGAAGCGATTTCCAATTAAAAACAAAATTAGATATATTATTTTCTTTGAATAAAAGAATCAATTTAATCATCTCTTACTTTTTTTCTTTGCTGTGGAAAGTAATATATATTTCTATCTGCTCTTATTAATCTTTATAGATTGTCATCATTTATATTAGCAAAACTCACTATATTCTTTAAATTTAAAGGAAAAAAACCTTTTTTTACATCCATTTTAAAACTTTAACTTTTTCTTTAAAAATATTCAAATTCTAATACATCTTTTTTTAACTTCCTCTTAACAAAAATACTTTCAAATACTCTTTCAATATTTTACAAGTTTTGGGAATTACTTAAGCATTATAATAAAGGGAAAAAAACACATTGTCAAACCCACTTTACGGTAAAACTTTCTTTCAATTACATATATCAGACTGGTAAAAATCCATCCTTACTCTAACTCATTAAATTTGAGTCACTCCTTCCAATTTATCTTCATAAAATAAAATATTTTTCTTCTTTGGAATATCTATCAAGTAATTATAGACTTCTCTTTTTCTCAAGGAATTCTCAACCTTGTTAGTATCCATGAAGAAAAAGTTTCAAACTTGTCCTCTTGAAAGTTGCAGATTTTCTTGGAACACTTCTTTCAATTATGCTGGGAGGTTTATATAACATCATAATAAAGATTGGTGTCAGATTTATATACCAAAGTTGCAATTTAGTCCTTTGCATTGTCAGCTACTTCTGAAATTGCCTCAGTAATTTCAGTGGTTTGATCATTTTTTTCACATAATTACACTCTGAAGTAGTTTGAGTATTTTTATACTATCCTTAGAAATAATTGATCTAATAATTGATCTATAGAGTTTTATTTGATAATTTTTCAGACACATCACATTTGCTCAAATCCATGCTCCATCTTGTTAATTCCTTATTATGGTCAAAGAGTAAATTTTTTGTGAGACCCTTGTAAGAATTTCTGGCAATCAGAGTTTATAAAAATCTGAAAGTTTTAACCACCCACAGCAAAACAAACCAAGCTACAAATTACTTAAAAATAGTAAAACAACAACTTTCTACCCTTATGTTTCTCTATCAAAGTTAAAAGGTACTCCAAGCTTTCCTTATTTTAGCTTGTCTTTAGCAATCCCCTTTTTGTTGTAGTTTAACAATAAAGAAGTCCCCAAAATGGCACAGATCTTCAAAACGGAGTAACAGACTGTGGCTCAAGCCTCTTTTAAGTGAATAAATAATTCTAAAAAGTGATTAAGAAATGAAAGGAAAAACTTATTGTCCATTTGAAAAATAAATTCCAAAGTGACTACTTTTTTAATAATAAAGTTATTGCAAGCCCCCCCCCCCAGCTCAATCACTCATCAGATACTCCAAAGCCCAGCTCCTGAAGCTTCTTGCAGACTGATGCAGTATGGAGGATCTTATGGGGTGATTCTACGACTCTCCCTAATTCATGAGAGTCATATAAACTAAAGGAATGCCAGTTGAAAAAGCGACAGTTCAGAGAAAACCCTTTCAGAGAGCCTTCCCTGGGCTTATTGTTATTTGGCCATCTTTCATCAGAAGTCAGAAACCTGAGCTGTTTCTTTGACGGCAATGAGCCATTTCCATTTCCAGTCCTTCTGCTTCAGAGGATTATTTGAGGTATTGGGATTGTCATGCTTTTTCACTGTTAGTTGCATAACCAGTGCTCTAGCATCAACACTGTCTGTAAAGCATAGATACTAAGCAAGCCATGACCATTCCAAGGATGAACAGCTTTATTATTCCCACATTAAAAATGGACAGCTGAAGGCTGAAAACATCTGACTGCTTAAGCCTACATATCTACATTAAGAACTTCATGGGAGAAAAGCTGGCTAGTTAAGGCAAAAGTGAAATAGTTCCAGCTCTTAGTTACTCTGTTCTAATTCATGCAAACAGACATACAAACAAAGAAATCTTACATTTTATTTGGCTAACTTACTATCCTGCCTTTCTTCCAGGAGCTCATGAAAATTTTAGTAGCAATGTTTTATTTCCTCTCAATAAAAGCCCAATGAAATAGGTTAGAGATCATGACTATTCTGAAATCTCCAAGTTAGCTTCTTTGGCAGTAAGAAAGGATGAATAGTGCAGGAAACCTTGGGTTAATGCAGGAAGGAAGAGATGAAGGTAGACAGAATATTTTTGCATTGGAATCCTAGGACAGCCACAATTTTATAGATGTTTTAATTGCTTTGAAGCTGCAACTCACTGGGTCTTGACTAGTCAATGGTATAATCAAGTGGTGGGTTTCAAATTTTTTTACTACCGGTTCTGTGGGCGTAGCTTGGTGGGCGTGGGCATGGCTTGGTGGGCATGGCAGGGGAAGGATACTGTAAAATCTCCATTCCCTCTCCACTCCAGGGGAAGGTTACTGCAAAATCCCCATTTCCTCCCAATCAGCTGGGACTCGGGAGGCAGAGAATAGATGGGGGCCAGGCCAGTCAGAATTTTTACTCCCAGTTCTCCGAACTACCCAAAATTTCCGCTACCGGTTCTCCAGAACTGGTCAGAACCTGCTGAAATCCACCTCTGGTATAGTCTAAGTGGGAACCAAAGACAGATTCATACAGGAAGTCCTTGTTTCATGACTGATTGCTTAATAATAGTTTGACATTCGATGACTTGGAAAGGGCTCTGCTGCTTCCCCTCATTATCATGCGATAGTGATCTGGGTGCTTGGCAATCTATTTGTACTTACGACTGCTTGCCAAATGCCCTGTGATCATGTGATCATGATTTGGAGTCCTCTCTGCTGGGTTCCAAAGAAATGTAATGGGTAAGACAACAGGGAAGATTACAAGCTGCTGCTGCTGCCTGCCAACAGATTTCTCCTCTGTGTATGGAGGGGGGCGAGAGTAAGGAATCTTTTACCAGGCTGCAGAAACAAAGCTTCTGAAGATCCAAGCTTTGCTTCTCCAGCCCAGTGCAGAAGTTCCCTTCCACGAATGGAGAGCAGCTGCCTATTCTCCTGAGATAAGATGCTGTTTTGCTCTGTCTGTTTAACAACTGCACCTGGGAGAGCTGGGATTGTGATCATTGAGTGAAGTAGTTGCATGGGGCATCTTGCTAAATGACTGCTTCGCTTAACAACCAAGATTCTGGGCCCAGTTGTGGTTGTATGTCATAAAGGCTACCTATAATTCAAGATGCTCCAGCAATCTAAAAAGGCAGCTCTGAATAACTGGCATGATGCCAGTATGAGCGGGGCTTGGGAAGTTGGCCCACCCACCAACATCACCCAACTCTCAGCAGACAATTTCACCATCTAGCCAGATTCTGTTCCTGATGTTGTGTAAAAACATGAAGGGGGAAAAAATAATGCAGGATTGCAAACTGGCTGCCTCTTCTATCTATTTAGCTGTTATTCTTTGATTAAAGTATAAATCAGGGGTCTCCAACCTTGGCTATTTTAAGACTTGTGGACTTCAACTCCCAGAGTTATCTCCCAGAGTTGAAGTCCACAAGTCTTAAAATTGCCAAGGTTGGAGACCCCTGGTATAAATGTAGAGGTTTTGAAAGGGGACAAAGGAAGAAACTGATCTTACTGTTAGTGGAAAAGTCTTGGTGCAAAAGTTTTGTGTAGTGGATGTTCCATCCTTAATTGTCCAGCTAGTAGCTAGCATACAGTAATGTACTGAGTTTCCTGGAACTGACTTTGTGGAACATTATAGGAACATGCTGGTTGCTGGAGAACATGGTATGCTTCTCCTTCCTCTTGCCAGTTGACTTTCACTCCACTTTGAACTTTCTTCTGTTTTTAGTATTTGTATCACTTGATACACTTGAGATTCAGTTTGGCTCTAGACTATTGTGAGTAGGAGTGACGGATAAGTTTTCAAAAACGAACATAGTTTTTTCACTTCTAGGAGGATTCAAGGTTAGGGAGATACTATTTTGTCCTTAGTTGGGATCAGAGATGTGTTTATAGGCTGTTCTAGATTTGATGCAGGCAAACCTTTTCCCCTTTGGTCTCAGTAGCATTAGCCCGCTTAGCTAGCAACATAGTAAGCTGCTAACTCTTAAACTGTCTAACAGTGGAATGATGAAAAACCTCATTCATCTATCCACCCTTTACAATTCTCTGCCAGTAAAAAAAAATAACAATAATAAGGAAAAGCGCAGGAGGCAGATTCTAAATAAAAATGCTGCTTAGTCATATCTTTTTGTGGTTCATTAAAAAAAATTAATTCAACTTGAATTACTACAGAATGAAGGGCAGGAGGAGAAGCATAAAAAGAAGTCTCGAGATATGACAACAAAACATTATTTCCAAAACACATCCCTTCTTTGCTGCACCACTATGATTGGCAGATGATCTTCCCCAAAGCTGGTGATGTATTGAAGAGGATGGCCAGTGAAATTGGAGGACTCAACCAGTTGCTTTGCCTATCACACCCAGTACATTCAAAATCTGAACAGAACCATTTATTTAGCAGTGAGTCAGAACAGGGGCAGTAGAGGAAGGATACAGATTGGTCTGTATAAGCTGCTACTAACTCGAGAATGGATGGATAATATTTTAACTCAACAGCAGGGAAAAGTTCTTAATGAGTATCTTCTGGACATGTTCTTTTCCTTCCAGAGCCCCTTAAGTACATTATATTTTGGCCCTCTGGAGAAACATTCCCTTGATCTCTGCCTGGCAAACATCTCGATGTCATTGGTTAATACAGTACAGTGGTCATTGTAGATATTTGAAATTAAAGGGATCACAACCATTTTGGCAGCTTTAGATCATTGTGGCTCTTTACATTTAAGCTATAGTGTTAATTCTGACGTTTTAGAATTCCAAATGGGATATCTATTATTCAATAAATGTTACCACTTTCTGAGCTGCAGGAAAGTATATAATGGAGAAGCTGACTTGCTTTTGAAGCTATAATATCAGTAAATAATCCCAGCACAGCAACCAGGGTGATTTTTCTTGCATTTGGATATTGGGTTATGATTACAACAGAGCTAGTTTTTCCATGTAAATTATTTCTCTCCAAGATTGGCATTTTGTTTTTCATGTGGTCATATTCTGGGCATCAGTTTTTCTATAAGAGATGAAGTCATCAGTTATCTGTATTGCATGTGACTGTATTCTGTAATGCATTAATGCAACTCCTGATGGCATTAAACTCTTTTGTTTAAGGCCAACGGAATAGGGAACTGCCCACTAACCATCCACCCAAACCAGATAGAACTAAATTTGTACAGAGCTGAAAGAATTATGCTATGTCAGAGCCCAGTGCGATTCATTCAGATGCAGTGATAAGTCAAATGTGGCTCATTATTGAAAAATAAATGGCTTTGAGTCACAGATATGTCTGCTGCTTATCTGTCTGATCATCCATTGTTGAAACAGGAAGAGGAACTTGGAAGGCTATGCTTCTGTTTAAACACATCATAGCTGAGAGAGTAATCTTTGTTTTTATTTACAATTAATAATAACTACAGTGTGAGGTTCAGACACAACATCAAACCATGGTTGCTTGGATACTTTTTTTTCCCAATTTCAGTCTGAACTGTCCCAATGGAGGAAAAGGCTGGGGCCATTAGAAGGGTACACAGGATTCTGAAGCTGATGCACAGTGTTAGAGTATCCGGTCTCTGTATTTGTGGAAAGGAAAATACAAAGGTGTGCAACATGTGCACAAGATAGAAAAAGCATGAAGACTACTCTTTGTTTAATTTCATTTTTGTAGTCTGGAACATGTAGAAGAGGTCAACATGAACTTTTCATTACTTTCTGGAACATAAGTGAAAGGCCATGGATTAAAAAAAAAGATTTATTTATTTATTGTGCTAGACATGCGGGGACTACTCTTAATTTCAGAAAAATGCTTTCATCACTTCTTCCTCATCTTATTCATTTGAGAACAGAACTCGGAAGCTACCCAATACTACACCCTATTAGATAAAACAGGATTGGCAAAGATCTCATTCACTAAATTTGCAGAAATATATAGTGATCTATTGGGGAGTAAAAAAACCCTCATTCCTTTTATTTCTCGCTTCCATAATCGTACATTCCTTTACCATAATGACCCAAATGTTGAATTATGTATTGTGTCGTGATGACGCAAGATAGGCCTTTTGCGATGTACCTTGCAGTGCAAGAGCAGATGTTCGGGTCATGACATTGCAATTAATGTTTTATCATTTGCTCAACCTTCCCTCCTCCCAGAGTCTGTTTCGCTTGATGCTCTGGTAAGCTGAACTACTATCTATGTGCATGTAGAGATCTGAGAGAGGAAGAACATACTGGGGACTATGAAAAAGACAGAGAGAAAAAGAAGCTAATGTCATATTTTCTTTTCTCCCCAGAGGTACGTTGATGGAGGGATTTCTGACAACTTGCCTCAATATGAGCTGAAGAACACCATCACTGTATCCCCTTTCTCTGGGGAGAGTGATATTTGTCCACGGGATAGTTCCACAAACATTCATGAACTCAGAATCACCAATACCAGCATTCAGTTTAATCTGCGCAATTTATACCGCCTTTCAAAAGCCCTGTTTCCTCCAGAGCCCCAGGTGAGCTTTCCCCACCATAATAGACACTTTCATTGTTTTTTATTTAAATAAACTGAGAGCCAGTACGATGTAGCAGTTAAGGTACTGAACTAAGAGTGTGAAATTTAGCTTCTAAGCTCCACTTAGGCATTGAAGCCAACTGGGTGACTTTAGGCCAGTCACTCTCAACCTAGACTGGAAAGTTAAAAAAAAAAAAAAACTACTAGTATTTACAAGTAGCAAACTGCACTGGATCAGCAAAGAAAATTATGGTTAATAACCTTCAGTAAAGAGGCCTTCATTCTATAGCAGATTGATTCAGTATTGCTGTTGTTGTTGATTTTCTATTTTTCATAGTTCGTAGGGAACTTTAGGAAATTTCTTATTTAGGAAGTAGCTATAATCCACTGCCAATCCCTCTCATGACTTCCCAGCACAATTTGCCTGCATTTTTATAACAGCTTAATCCTCTATTGGAGGTAAGTCCCCCTGTCTTTAGTGGAGCAAGGAACACCTGTATTTGGCAATGTACCCACATCACAAACAGAATTAATATGTTAAGAAAGCAGACGCAACACACGACTTTGATACAAGAAGAAAATATAGATTCTTCCTGTAGTGCTAGCAGAGATATTGAAAAGAATTCCAGAGCTCAGTTTTTCCTTTAGAACAGGGGTGTCAAAATGGCAGCCTGCGGGATGGATGCGTCGTGTGCAAGCCACACCCCCTCCAGTTCCGCAAAGGGGGAAAATGTTGTGATACGATATGTGACGGTAACATGACCCGTGAGTTTGACACCCATGCTTTAGAAGGTGCTAAAGACAATTTGTTCAGACATTGTTAAGCTGGCTCATGCTGAAAACTCATGAGACAATATACGCCTTCAATAGTTTGGAAACACTGTAGCTGGAGGGCAGCTGTTTCATTCCAATGGCAGAAAAATTGAATTTTTTTTCCCCCCAGAATTGGCAGAAACTTTTATTGAGTTTCTTTCTTCCCCATGGAGAAAGAAGACTTTCACCAATTCTCCCTTTTCACAAGGAGTCCCATTTCAGGATCAAACCTGAGGTGTTTACTTGGCTACTCCTGTAATTAATTGTGCCTTTATCCCAACTTGTCAGAGAATATGGATTAAGACCACTTTGTAAAATGAAATACTATTTCATTTAATGCTGTTTAATAGCATCTCTTGTCTTCGTATAACTTCCTTAATCAGCAATACAACTGGAGATGTGTTAATTTTACTGTGTTTCTATCTGATCAAACCCAGCCTACAGTGATCGCTGGCCATGTCTGCTTGTCATGCCTGATGCAGAGGTCTCCATTGGAGATCCCTCTTTCTGTCAGGGGCTACATGAGCTGGAAGTACATTTGGAGATATGGGTTCTTCCCTCTGCTGAAGCCTGTGGGCCTGCTGGTAGTGCAGCGTTTAGATGTCTTACAACTGATTGTAAGTAACATGCTGCTTTATCACTCTGCAGGTTCTTCAGGAAATGTGCAAGCAGGGCTACAGGGACGCTCTTCACTTTTTGAAGAAGAATGGTAAGTTCTTAATAGTTTTGTATTCTCTAGCAAAAGTGAATCTCGTGTCAGGTGTTCTTTTCTCTATTTCTAATAAGAGTATTAAAAAGCAGAGCCTGGTCTTGCATTCCAATCATGACTGTATATCATCCTGTCTAGTCCCTTTTCGCCGTGTAGAAAATGTGCAACTCTTGCAGTCCCTTTTAGTGAGAGCAACATTATTTGGATACATGCATATGTTAATGCTCAAATTTCAAAAATTAAAAACTTCCCCACTAAGCCAAAAGGAAGGAGGTCAGTCAAATTACTACAAAGTGAATTTCCAAAACTGACATTATTGCTTATTGCTTAATTGAACTTTAATTATTTTTCTATTCTGTATTATTAAAAAAAATTGACTCGATGTTTTATATGTTCTTGCACAAATTGAGGTTTATTTTTAAATGAAAACTTTCTTTTTGAATGGCAGGCATCTGCAAATTTTATATTTGTGCATAGAGATACAATAGAAAATGTTACTAGTCAGCAAATTGTACACAAACTTCCTTGAAATGAATGGAAGGTGTGGAAAAGTATGGTGATGTATTATGCACCTTTTGTTGTGTGGTTTGTTCAAAAACATTTTAAACCATTCTTAAGGAAATGGGATGTATGCAAAAAAAAAAAAAAATGACCAAAATTAATTATACTGATAAAAGCAACAATAACTTTATATACAGTTCAAATAATATGCTGGCCAGAGGCCATAATGTAATTCTATGGATTTTGCTACCTATAAATCTCAGGAACCCTAGCAACATGCCAATACTGAGAGACACTATATTTTCCATATTTTCTTTATGGAGGAAGAATTTCGGACCCAACAAAAAAACATTTTCTCTGTTTAGCTGCCATGTAATGCACATTCCTGGCAAAGGAGCTATCTGCTTCCAGAGGTGCCTACGTGGTATTGAAGGAGCATCTTGTCTAGCTGAAAGTCATGTGATTCCGTAGAACTCTTTTAGGTTGTCTAATTCTGTAACTGCAGTATATTTTCTGTCTCTATAGCATCATCTAGTGGTGCAAATTTCTCACGCAACCATTTTATTCACTGAATAAAATGAACAATTGTTTTTAATCATGGCAGCATGCTACTTATACCCACAAGGAGACTCATGCCATTGATCATTATATGCTGTGATTAAATAACCATAATGATACATTCTCAGAATAATTTCCTGTATTAATTTCAAAGATTTCTTATGATGTCATGTCATGCCATATTATGTTATATATAGATTTCTGTCCTCTTAGAGTAGAGTTATAAAGTCACTAATTGAATGATGCTCAGCTGATTGTCCAGGTCTGATATTTATACAAAGACAAATTATAAGCGATTGAGTTTCATCTATTTTGCTTCCAAACAGAGGTAAAAACAATTGTACATCTGAATATCCTCTCCATCCGTATTTTTTTTCCAGAAGGACCTACACATACTAGCAAATTTGATGCTTATAAAACAACACAGAATATTTATACAGAAATGTCAAGATTCACTTTAAAAGCTACTTTGGTTTATGGCTGCTCAACCTATTTTTGTCTGGCTGCTCCTTGTCCTTTGCTTTTTGCACATAATAGTCAACAAGATGGCTTTCTTGCAAAAGGTTGTTTCTATCTGCTACTGCCATGTTCTCCAAAGTAAAATGGTGAAGAGAAGATAATCTAACAGTCTAATGATGTTTTCTGGTGAATTCACAATTCTGCCGCCTATCCTTTTTCTCTAGCTCTCCTCCAAAGACCTCCCCTTCCTCCGCTAGCCATTAGCACTGATGCTGAGGAAACGGACTCTGAAAAAGAAAAGGATGAGGACGATCAGCTGGGAGAAAGTGCTGAACTGGCAGAGGCTGAAGAACATATTCTGGAACACTTGCCTCCTAAACTGAACCAAGGTAAGATCTTTTGTTGGAGAGGAAAGTTGCTGTATTGCTTTGTCCCCAATTTAATGGAGCTGTTCAGGTTCTAGGTCAGTTTTTGCTGACTAGGCCCTCCTCCAGGAGTCATTCATTGACTTCAACTCCCAGAATTATCAGCAAGCATGTCTGGCTATTGCTGAGAATCTTGGCAGTTGAAATCTACACATCTGGAATGGCTGTTCCTTGTATGCTTTTTAAAGAAACCAGATAAGCAAATTTTCAAAGAAAATATGTCCACATGTAGACATAGTCATTGCTCTTGGAAGAGGACAAAGGCGTTCATATAATTCCTGTACCAATCTTGGTTCAAGATAATCAAAGGCCAAATTTAAATTCCTGGCTCGGTTGAGGAGATGGACAGCTCACTGATTTTAACTACATCAGTTGGTGATTGGAATACAAGTTTTCAGGATCACCAATTGGTGTTAAAATCAAAGAGCTGTCAGTTTTGTTAACAGAGAACTGTTAAAGCTGTGAAGAAGCTGTGAAGTTGCAAGAAGTTTGTGAACATAAGAGACACTGGTTTGGCATGTTGGGGAAGGTGCTGACCTGGAAACCAAGAGATTCTGAGTTCTAGAACTCCTTTAGCCATGAAAGCCAGCTGGGTAACTTTGGGCCGGTCACTATCTCAGCCCAAATAATTTCACAGGATTATTGTGGTGGGGAAAACAGAAAGCAGTATTAAATATATTTTCTACCTTACATTTTAAAAAGGCAAGATAAACATTTGATAATAACAATAATTATCCAGATTCAAATTTCACTGAACAATGATTAGATCAAAGGGGATTGATTCATTACCAGAAATAAAATATTTAGGAATACAGAATGGAAAAAAGTCAGAAAAATTATGAAAATGAAAGATCCAAAACAATTGTAGAAGTAGAAGAAATTCAGATAGCAATTCTAAATATAAAGGAAAGAGTGGGTATGTACTATAGAAATAATAATTTGGTTAGTTGTTATTAACAGAACCAGTACAGGTCAGCACTAAAATAGACAATGAACTGACCTCACTAACAGGAGTGAAAATTATGCAGAATTTTTAGTAGAAAGACAAAGACTGCTAGCATTAAGAGTAGCATTAAGACCTGGCATCTATAATGAAGTATATGAATAAGGCGCTTGCAAGGATTAAAATAACATTTATCAGACACACCAATCAGCTCTCCTACAGTACAGCAGTGGTGGTTACAAAAAAACTATGTATCATAATCAAAAAACCAAAATCAAAATCATATTCAATCCCAAAGTGGAAGATCAGACTGGGGCCCAGATAAAGAAACTAAGATCAGAAGCAAGTAATTTAAACAAAAAGAGCAAAATTTGGAAAAATGTAAGGATCAAGTGAAGCCTAATAAAAAAACTATTGGCTTAGCACCAGAAAAATTGAAGAAGCTTTGGAAATCATAAAGCAACAAATAACAGCATTGGCAAGGAAAATTGAACGCCACGGGGCTCAAATAATCTAATTAAAGCAAAATCAGTTATTTCAATCAGACGAGAGACGATTCTGCCAAAGTTAAATGACACTAGTAATTCTGAAAATGGAAAACCAAACAAAAAGGAAATAATCCAGTTTTGGAAAGATTTATGGGAAATTAAAAAAATACTATAATAAAAATGCTGGATGGACAAAAGAATTTCAAGAAGAATTTAGTAAAAATCAAATGGAAGAACTAGTGAAAGCAAAAATGGTTAAAAATTGAGTGAAAAGGATTAAAAATTGGACATGACCGGAAAATGATCAGTTGCATGTCTTTTGCCTCAGATATCTGACTACCTTGCATCTAATTAAAGCTAAACAGCTTAATGAAATATTGCATAAAGGAAACATCAGTGACAGCTTAATGATGGTAAAATGTATCGGATTCAAAAGGACCCAGCGAAAGGGACAATAACAGGAAACTACACCAATATAAATCAACTCAGTTAAACAAAACCTCCAATTATTAATTTTTAGTTGAATTTTTCTTTGTTTAGAATCTCATGAAGTAGTAATAGGGGTATCATTTAAGTCGTGGATATGTGCACATTTGGGGAGGGCTTATAACAGATAAGGAAAGATTTAGCATTGAGGAATAAAATCCTTTGCAACTGGATTAGAAGTGCAACAATTAAATGGTTGAATTAGGTAAAAAAAAATCATTGGTTTCTGTGCTCAAACCTTGGCAGGAGGGCATTGATTTAATATACCTTTTCCATCTGCAGCACTTTTAGAAGCCTGTACTGAGAGGAGGGGATTATTCACTTGCATTGCCAATTTTCTACCCATGCGTTTGGCCTCTACATTGATGCTACCATATACTCTTCCTCTAGAGTCTGCTCTCTCCTTTACAGTCAGGTATGTTCTGAATTTCCTTCTGAGCCTCTGTGGTGATAGAACATTAGTAGGATTTGCATTGGATGTTAAATCCATTTACAGCATTCAACTTTAAAAAAATCGTATTTAATTGTATTTCTTGCCAATAAAGCAGAGATAGAATACTTTTAGATGAAATTCCTTCCAAGTCAGTGGCATCTCCTTTGGTATAGTTAGAATGAAACAGAATTCACATTTTAAGATTTTGGGGTGAGAGAGTTTTGTATCCTGCTGGATTGTAAATTTTGAAATTATATAGGTAATTCCTTAGAGAGAAAAGGCTTTCCTGCTAGTAAATTTAAATTTGGGTGTAACTGTTCAATTTAAAATGTAACTTTATGAAGTAGTTCTTATCTCATTACAAGGCAAAATCTTTTTTTTTTATGCTGCAAAATGAGTGTTTATTTTGATTACCTGCAATCAAGTCAGTGTTGACCTGTAGTGACAACATAGACAATTTTTCTCTAGCACAGTTTGTCCCCAGTCCTGGCCAATTTTTATTTCTATAGCATGTCACAGGAAAAACCATTGCTTGCATCATTCTGCATATCTTGGCATCTGAATATCTTCTCTTTCAAGGCTTTCTCATTTAACAACAAAAACACAACTACGAAACAAAAATTAAGAAGCAATTAAAGGAGCATCTAGCTCTTGTGTCAAAATCTCTGTAAAAGGGTCTTGATTTGCCTTTCAACACATAAAGGCAACAAAGCAGACTATAGTTGTTATTTTTCATATGATTTCGCTTCTTTGTTTAATGCTGTATATCTTTTTGTATTCTTTTAGTATTGGAGAAAAAGGGGGGGAAAGAAACAAGGAAAAGAACAGTAGCATAGATGGTATAGATAGGAAATGATTCGGCCTACTTTTAAACACTCATTAAACCTTGGTCATGTGGAATAATACTGATCGGTCTTTCTATGACATCAGAGAGAACTAAGTCATAATCAGACAGCAAACACATAGTGGCAATCAAAGATTTTAAATTTTGGGTCACACTTTCTTGCCAACTGTTTTCCTTATCCCTACTTGAAAAATAATAATTTTTAATTTAATGATACATTCTAAGTTTTGTATATAAAATTAAAAATACATTCACTTCTTTAATCCGTATTGAACTTTGTAACACCATGTTATCAAGGGTCATAATATATATTTTAAAAGGTAACCATCAGTTTGTTAACATGGAATATTCCAATTCTTTATTCCACTGTTTTTGCAAATCTTAAAGATGCTCTTTAAGTGATTATAAAACACGATAGCCTTTAGAATAATCCAAAATGTATTCAAATATTGATTATAATTTTAGGGTTTTATCTGATTGATTAAATGCCATCAATTGTATTAAATGTTAGCAACCACATGGATAGAGTCCTCAGAATGGTCTGCCTTCAGCTTGGCCTTGTTGGTTTCTCAGTGTATATTCATTGATTTTGTAATCATATTTATCCACCTTGTTTCTGGTCATCCTCCTTTTTTGTCCTTCAACTTTTCCAAGCAACATGGACATCATAATATTGTAGGATTCTGGAAAAGCTCAGTGGCCTCTGTAACAGTTGAAGTTTAATCCAGATAGTCTCTAGCCTGACACACACAGAGACATGTGTTTGACTTTATTTTTGCCTCAGAGAAATTAATGCATGCCCCATTGCTGGAGGTCATTACTCCAAATCCTTTGCTGTGGTTGGATCATTTCTCATCCAGAAAAGGTGTTGTTACTCTAGGACTTTTCTGAATGAAAAGGCTAGTTAAGATAGTCTGTCCTAAGTGCATTATGCATCCTGATATATTCATATATGGGGGATGGGTGGGGTTTCCTACCAATATAGGAGGCAGTTGCACTGACATTTGCAATGGGAAGATTAGGAGGATGCTTGAGGTGATTGCCAACAAGTGGCCTTCATGCTTGCAAGTCCCAGGATGCTGTTTGGCTTTCTGAAACCAATGCCTGCTTCTTTTCAAAGGCAGAAGTATGCTGAAGAGGTCTGTGGGTTGGATCATCCTTGCTACTTTATAAAAATCAGGATAATAATAGCCATTACAGGCTGTTTTTTTCATTGAAAGGACATCTGGCATGCATTGAGATAGCCTGTACAAATACACCCCAAGAGTGTCCAGTCCCTTGATCTGGCAGATAGTATTCATTGTTGCTTACGGCTTTTAGAAGAAAGGGGAAGACAATGGGATAATTAATGGAGAGATCAAAAAAATTACAGAACAGACCTGGAAACAACTACAAATTGTTCTTGGAGAGAGGTCACAAAGTTCTTAAGGTTACCTAGAGTAGACTCTGACTTGATGGTACCTGACTAACTTTGCAGTTACATGGGGAGAATACTATGAGGAAGTAGCTTCTATACAGTGTGTAATGACCTTTCCAATTCTGGGGACCAGTTCCCATGCTAGCACTGTTTTTAGATGCTTAATTAAAGTGTTGCAAGTTTTAATTGGAACGTGCTATTTTCAGAGTTAACATATTACTTTGGGATTGCTCGTCACAGCTTTGTGCATCACTATAACCTGCAGCCTATGATTTTCAGTGGACATTAATTAGTTACATATTCTGCCTAATGTTAAGAGTCATTTTGAATAGCAGTTATTGGGAAATATGTTCCTATGGTCTTCTCTGTGTTCGTTCAAGAATCATCCCGTTGATCTCTGTGGATGCTGGATTAGATAGATCTTTGATCTTTTCTAGCACAGTGGGTTTTATGTATGCACTTCCTGTTGATACAAATGGCAACAGCAATAGCACTTAGACTTATATACCGCTTTACAGTGCTTTACAGCCGCTCTAATCAGTTTACAGAGTCAGCATATTGCCCCCAGCAATTTGGCTCCACATTTTACCCACCTCGGAAGGATGGAAGGCTGAATCAACCTTGAGCCTGGTGAGATTTGAATTGCCAGATTGCAGGCAGCCGGCAGGCGGCAGAAGTAGCCTGCAGTACTACACTCTAACCACTGCGACACCAAGGCTCAATCCTGGGATGATTAGTTAAAAATTTCAGTAAAGTGCTTGAACCTGCAGATAGTGTACTTGAGCATGTTTACAATACTGGAACATGTTTTTTTTTCAATTAATACTTGTGCATTGCACGTGCCATATTTAGACTGCTTGAATGGCTGCCAGATGTTCCAGAGGACATCAGGTGGATGAAAGAACAGACACGGAAAGTCTGTCATTATTTCATGAGAAAAGCCAAGAAGAAGCTAGGAAGTCACCTTTCAGCCAGGTAGGATTGTTGCTTCTTATCTTGCATTTCTGAAGATGCTGAATTCTGAAGCACAATACAATGTTTTTATATCACTAATGCCGTAACATTCTTGAATTGGGAGATTTTGCAGTTGGATTTTCCCATGCATCGAAATTAGTGCCTTTGGATTCTGTTCCAGGTTTGCATGATTAAGGTGTCGTGTTTGTTTGCTTTGTTCTTAAAGCCAGAGTCTGCTGGACTGGAATGATATATGAACCCAAGTAAGTATAATGAGCAAATAAAAACCAAACATATTCCCCAGTCAGAATAATTTTGAATATAGCTATGTTTCTATAATCTCTATGGCAGGGGTGTCAGACTCAGGGTGTCACGCAGCGTCACAGCAGGCCGGAAGTTTGACAGCCCTGCTCTATGGTCTCTAACATAGCACTCCAGCTTTGAATTGCCCTTTCTCTAAAGGCCGAGTGCTTTAAAAATCACAGCCTACATGTCTGTGATTATTTTTTTGTGGTATAGTTATTGTTGCTTTAATATTGAATGTGTTGTTTATTTTTATTTTGTGTTATTGTTTAAGCTTGTGGATTTATGGATTTTAATTTGTCCTAAAATCCTTAAGACAACTGTCATGATAGAAATGTAATAAATAAAAATACATAAATAAATTGTAAGATACCTAGTACAGTCCATTTCAAAACCAGGTAACAAAATCCACTTTCGTATCTGAATTAAATTTGTAAAGTGTAAAATAACTAAGGTCCTTAAATGTTAAAGAAGATATAATGGTAGTCTACAAGTTTACAGTTATAAAAGGGGAGTCAAAGTTTTATATTTTGAAAAACCTTTTGGATTGAAACAAACTGAAATAACAATTTTAAGCAGATTGTTCAAAGATTGTCACTATAGGATTATTGAAAGAGGTTCCCAAATACAAGATTGAGAAAATAAAAAATTCATCCCATTATTTCCATACCTGTTCCTTATCAAAGGTCATGTGTACACAGCTCACAATATATAAAGAGCTATATAATTATTGCTGAGGCATGGGGGATATGTGCTTTCTAAGTACTTATGAATGAGAGCTCCTATGTTCCCCACACAGCATGGTCAATGGTGAGGGATATTAGAGGTTGTAACATTTAGGGGATATACTCAATTCTCCTGCTCCTGAGATCAAAGTTACTGTTAGGTTTTCTCTCTCGACCAGCAGTGATCATAGTTTGAGCTAGAGACATGTGTTTTTGCCAAGCCCTTGGCTGGTAGCATTATTGGGAATTGGAATCTACTTTATCACTGAAGAGGCTCTTTCCCAGAGACACCTATTCTTATCACAGTCTCCCTGTATACTTGATTTTCAATGAAACTTAGAAATTTGATGATCATGAATCTGAGGTCTCTGAAAGTTTCTTTTAAAGCTAATGCAGCTCAAGTGGCATTTTCTCCTAATGGGCCAAGAAAACAGGGTCAGAATAGCCAGAGGGTGTCAGTAGTGAGATCCTCAGGGAAAAATAATCTGCTGCTCACTTCCATCTCTCTGCAGCCTTAGGTTATCTTCTGATTTTTTTTGTGTCATTGCATGATGCAAAGGGGCAATTTCAATGGGACGTGTACTCCATCTTTCTCCTTCTTTCTCCTTCTCCATTCCCCTTCCATTTTTATTTATATGTCAACGTTGGAAACCCAAATATGTTAAATAATATTTACCAAAATAGCATGGCAAACTTTAATTCTCTCTCTCTTTCTCTCTTAGGCTATACTACCATCTTGAACTCCGAAAAACACAGAGTTTACCTATCCCTTTGGGAACGGCTTATGGGGAAGCATTTCCAAAATGGCTCAGGAACAGTCTCTCGCTAACAGACGTTATGACAAAATGGGAAGAATACCAGCGCCAGCTGATGCTAGGGCTGTTCTGCATCAATGTGGACCTGCAGGCCTCCATCTTCCCATCAGAAGGGCTGCAGATGAGACATCCACGAGCAAGCTGCACGGAAGAGACCCTTCAGCTCTTTTAAATATAACCTTCAGAATCTGGTTGGGGAAAAGAGGGTGGGCAGAGGCTGCATTTAGCAGCTTCCTAATGGAACTCTAACAATCAGAGGGATTTCTCCTCCCCTCACAATTCAGACAGGGTACTGATAACAAAATAGGCAATTGTGCCATAACTAAGCAGGTGACTAGCACCATGTAAATACCCACCAAAATGTGTTGGGTGTTGCATATTTTCTGGGAAACAGTGGCATAAATAACTCGACAACTGCAACCAAAATGGTTGATGCTTGGGCTGAACTGAAAAGAATTTCATTCAGGGCACCTCTTGGACTGTTTATAATAAGACGACTGGGTCATCATCAGGATTCTAGCTTTTGTTTTTAATCCACTTTACTTTAAATCAATATTGTAACATGCTTTTGTTCTTAAAGACTTGAGTCCTTTGGGATCATCCTTCTCTGTGTTACGATGCAGTAAAAGAAAAGCCAGCACGAGCTACCAAATCAGCTCTTAAACCAAATGCAGTCCTAAATTTTCACTCTAAGTAGAGACACCTTATAATTCCTGTACTGTTTTCTTGTAAATTTGTCATATATAAGGAATGTAGCTAACTTTTATACTACCTGGATTCATGGCCTACCGTCTTCTAGGTCCTTCTATTCTAGAGAGATGAGAGAAAAAAATAGAAGTCTTGAAATATGTACTTAAGTCCCATCTCATTTGGATGCACTATTTTTTCCCCTGCTTCCCAGTAATTTTAATTAGCTTAAATCTGAATTTGTACAGTTGCAGAAGGATGTCAAGAAGGATAGATGGAAGCAACAGCTAAGTCAGTGTAATGTATGTTTTGAAACTGTTTATGACTGACTGGATCAGTTGGTCATTTGAGAAAGAAGGAAAGGGCTTTTGATTCTAGCTGCAAAGGAATATGAAGCTCTTAAAATCCAGAAGCCAAAATATATTCTAAATGGATTTAAGTTGGCTTGTGGGATCCACATCACTTGTGTCAGTGGTGAATGTGGCCCCTTTGGAACATTGCTCATTGCTCAGCAGAATTGTAGAAATTAATTGTCTTGCACTGAGATGGAAATAAGCAGGGTCTGAAGTTGAAGGCCAGAAAGAAAGTAATAGTTTTGCAGGTATTGAATGTTACGGTATTGCATAAAGAGGAGGAACAGGGTTGGCTTGTAAATCAACTGAACAAAATTGTTTGTTTTTTTTCTCCCTTCCAAGTACTTTTCCCCCACTAGTGCAGGGTCCATTTTTTCTCAGATTATAGGAATTGATTGACTGGTTTGTCATCTGAGCCTAATGTTGTATGCTGAGAGTGACTATCCCAAAGTCATCCAGCTGGCTTTCATCCTAAAGTGGGATTAAAATACACAATCCCTGGTTTCTAGCCTGGTGCCTTAACCACTAGACTAAACTGGCTCTCTTGCTGAACAAAATTGAATGTATAGTCTTAGTTCAATCTTTTCGTGATAAACCAGTGGAGCTTTCAATTGCTGTGAAAAAAATGTTGGTAGGTTAATATAGAAGCATTTTCCCCTTCACACATAGCCCAAGAAGCAGATCTGGTATACATTATCCATTTCTTTCATAAGCCTTCTTTACAACAGTTACCTTTTGTCATATAAGCACGACATGAAGCACTCTGGTTAATTTCTCACAACCCCATACCAACTATCTTGTGTCTATCAATTATCACCAGCACCATACTTGATTTCATCATTCACTACTGTTGTTTTCTTCCTGCTAACTGTATATATAGCATGGCAAATATTCATTATGATGTCAGAAAGCAGGAGCTGCACCCATATAGTAATAGTGGCATATTTCTAGTCACTGTGTGTGAGACTATATGTAGAGTGCTTGTTATGATATTGTATCGTTATAGACTGAAGTGTTTGATGCTGCAGGGAAAAAAGTTTGGGTACATTTGTTTTTGGATAAAAAAAGATTGGTTTTCTTTGCTGAATTTCTGTTTTTCTCCTAGTACAGAACTATCTGTTAAATTCCAAAGATAACACAATGGATGGAAGGAGAGGGAGACATAACGATTGCTTAGAAATAAGTTAATAGTAATAGAATTTTAAATGCTACAAGATAACAAAAAGGATAAATCTGAGTAGAAATGCTTTATTATATAGTGTATTTGTTCTCTTAGTAGACTACAACAGACTACTAACTTTAAGTATTATGAGCAATAAGAGGTTCTATATTAGCAAAGCCTAAGAGATACACATGCTTTTTTTTTCTGGAAAAAGAATTATTGAAAGCGGCTGAAACCAGGATAATAGTATTGCTCCAGGAAATGAACCTGGGAGCAAAATACAAGGAGCATTTCAGCAATGCTTTCACTTGTAAAAATTTCTAGCGCAAATATTAAAAATCAGTTGGGAATGAAGTGATTTTATAAAAATAGGCTTATTGCCAGAAAAAAATTCCTTTGCTGTCTACTCATTTGGCATAAAGGCCTGTTTTGAATCTCTGCACCAGTATTTCCTTTTACACATCCCTGGGAGAAGTGGAGCTATGAAGAATGAATATTTGCAACCAGGCAGGATGGGGGTAGTCATCAAGTTTAGCAATGAACAGTGGCTCTCCTATACGTTACATAAATGCTTAGGATGGCAAGAGTACACTGTTTTAACTGCTAATATTTCCTTTAATGTAAGCAGCAGTAGCAAATTGCAAAGCATTCAGAGCACTTGCACAGAATCCAGTTCCTGGTCTGGAATTCACTACTGAATTTTGATAATTTCTTCCATGTTACTATGTTTGGATAAGTAAGTACAGCAGCTACCAACTCTTAGTGCAGAGGAAAAGAAAGGACCTGTCTCTCTTCACTAACATTAAAATAAAGAGGCTGAGCAAAAGTAGACATTTTTTTTTTGAGGAAGAAATGCTTTGGATTGAGCTGTCACATACAAAGATTCACGCCTACTCTCCCATATTTAATTAGAAGTAGGATAGAAAATAAATGAAGACAGGAGAAATGCAAAATTGAAGTGTTTCCTCTAGTAGCAATGTCTCTTTAAGAGAAAAGCTTTGAGCAAAAGATCCTTTATAAAACTCTATTGAGGAAGCAATCTTCCTCTTATCTTAATTCAAATAAGTTCCATAGGTATTACATCATCTCAGCTTTCCCACATAAAATACAACAGTGCCTAGATCAGGCCTGTCAAACTCCTGGCCCGCAGGCTGGATGCGTCATGCGCTGGACACGACCAAAGCCGGTTTAGTGAAGAGGGAAAAAGTCCCGATATGTCATGTGGTGACGCCGTGAGTTTGACACCCCTGGCCTAGATACTTTCCCTTATTAAGTACACAATTGTCTGCTTATTCTGCAAAGTAGCCTCTGTTAGAGGAAAATGTTCTTGTATCGTGAAATAGCTGGAAAAACATGATTTTGCTTTTGAATTCTAATAAGCATCAAGAGTTTTTCCCCCTTACAACTATAATGTGAATGTCATTTGTTGTCTTTTAGATGAAAATGTGCCAGTGTTTGCATGTCTTTAACCACTAAGTTATTCAACACTGTATTCTATTTTGAAATGTATTGCACAATTATATAGTCTTTTTTTTTTTTTTAATTGTAAGCTGCTATTGCTGCTTCAAATGCAGCTATTGTAATGCTGGGATTCTATTTATTGCTAATACACTGCACTATAATTTAGACAGCCCTCTTTTTAACTATCTTACCTGTTTGAAGATAATCAGGATTTTAAAAATAGTTGGTTTTATAAAACAAAATATAAAATTATTTAATTTTATATGTTAATGTTAAAAGTGTAAGTTCAAATGTTAGTGCCAAAAACTGGTATTGCAATATGTACTGTGTTTTTCACAGCAAAAACACACACAGACATTTTCTTTTAATTCTAAAACTTAAAAAGTAGTGTAAGCAATGCTCCCAAATGATTTTAATTCATAATAAAAATAGAAGTTAGAACCAACAAAGTATCCACAGAGTAAAGCCAACCAGCCCAGCTCTAATTTCTTAAAAAGAAAGAAAAAAAATTGGTGTATCAGATTTGAAACTCTTGAACAAAAACTGATAACAACTTACATCACCTTGTTTGACTTGGCAGATAGAAATTTGGGCAAGTTGAAAAGCAACATTTGATTACATCAGAAGCTGATGAAAGAGAAGCTTGATTTGTTAAGTTGCATGGTTTAAGATTCCACAGTGCCTTTTATATTTTTTTTAGAAAGCCAAACTATTTACAGCTTGCTGCTGCTGTTATCTTTATGGGCACCTATAGTAGTCCTCAACTTATAAACCACATTTGGGACCAGAATTTCTATTACTAAGCATCGTGATTGTTAAGTGAATCATGCCAATTTATTGACCATTTTGTTTTGGTTGTTAAGTGAGTCACCTTAATCAGTAAGTGAATCATGCAGTCATTAAAAAAAATCTGACTTCCCCCATTGATTTTACTGGTTGAAAGCCAGTTGGGAAAGTCACAAATGATGATTACATGATCCAAGGATGCTGCCATTGTCATAAATACAAGCTGCTTGCCAAGCGGCCATATTTTGATCATGTAACCATGGGGATCCTGCAATGGTTGTGAGTGCAAGCATTAGTCATGATCACTTTTTTCAGTGCCATTGAAATCTCAAAAGAGTTGCTGAATGGATGATTGTAAGTCGAGGACTACCTGGATTCCTCTGCTGTTTTCATTCTGACCATTCTTGAATTCTGTAATAGTTCTTAAGTTGTTGACACTACTAAGGCTGAACTAATCATTGTGAGAAGCAACTGATTTACCTTGCTCTGATGTTAAGCCATAGTAAATCCAACATGCCAAATAAAAAAATCTCTCTGCAAAAAATGCACTCTGTAAGAAAAAAGAAAATTCAACATAAGAACTCAATCGTATTTAGGGAGTGGGAGATGACCATGATCTGATGCTGTTGGTCAAATTGCAATAGCTCATTTTTAGCACCTGCAACTAAAATAAAAACCTGTATTATTTAGTAGCATTAGGAAAGCAATAAATACGGTGAGGAAAACTAATCAAGTATTATAATAGTCATTCTTGAGTTAATTTTCTTCGTGCTTTGCATTATCCATGTCCTCAGTTCCTTTCTTCTATGTGTTTTACTGGAAATGTGCTATTTATTCTTTTAAAATGTATCTCTAATAAAATACTTTCTAAACTTATTGAACTGAAATGTGGATTTGCATTTATTCATGCTTTGTGTAGCCATAGTCCGTTGATACTTTCTGATAATCAGGTATTTTTGATCCAGTTGGCAAGAGGCAAACCAGATGGATCCAAGATGGCTTCTGTGATCTGCAGTCCTACACTATGCTCACAGTTACTCTTCCTACACAGTCATCCATTAGGCATTACAGCCACAGGTGTTGCTCAGCTTCACTGGATTCCTCAAGTCACTATTGCCATGTTATTCCTAAATTTGCATTAGCCATGAAGGTCAAATAACAAATGCAGGAATTCCATCTGACTGAGGTTGTGGATGATACTAAGCTAGCAGGAATAACTAACACACTAGATGTTAGGCTCAAGATCCAGATGGATCTTGATAGACTTGAACACTGGGCCCTATCTAACAAAATGAAATTCAATGTAGAGAAAAGTAAAGTCTTACACTTAGGCAAGAAAAACCGAAAGTAGACTGGGTGAAACCAGTCTCAATGGCAATAACTGAGAGGGATCTTGCAGTCTTAGTGGACAACCAGCTAAATATGAACCAGCAGTGTGTGGCAGCAGCCAAAAAAGGCAATTTAATCCTAAATTGCATTAACAAAGGGATACAATCAAGATCAAGTGAGGTACTAATACTACTCTATAAAGCCTAAGTAAGACCACACCTAGAATACTGCATCCAGTTTTGGTCACCACACTATAAAAAAGATGTCTAGAAAAAGTGCAGAGAAGAGCAACCAGGATTATTAGGGAACTGGAGACTAAAACATGAAGACTGGTTACAGGAACTGGGCATGGCTAGTCTAGTGAAGAGAAGGACCAGGAGAGACATGATAGCCGTCTTCCAATATTTGAGGGGCTGCCACAGAGATGAAGGGGTCAAGCTATTTTCCAAGGCATTCAAAGGCCAGACAAGGAATAATGGATGGAAATTGTTCAAGGAGAGATTCAACCTAGAAAGAAGGAGAATTTTTCTGACAGAACAATCAACCAGTGGAACAACTTGCTTTTGGAAGTTGTGGGAGCTTCATCACTGGAGGCTTTCAAGAAGAGATTGGACTGCCATTTGTCAGAAACGGTACAGGGTCTCCTGCTTGGGCGGGGGGTTGGACTAGATGACCTACAAGATCCCTTCCAACTATTAATCTGAGGTATGGATCTAACCCCTTTTCATTGCTAGCCTTTTTCAATCTGAGAAGTGACGGGTGGTAAGCTAGAGTTGTGTGAAGTGCTTATTGCGGCTATGCAACATATCCATACTTAATTCCCACCACCATTTCCAGATAGAATTAGGAAATACCTTGTTGATTCAATGTTGAAAGGTTAGAAAGCCATGACCACTTGACTGATGACCAGATTCAATATAAGGAATTTTTAATGTGTGACTAAGCTATGGAAAACAGACAATGGCATATGGAAATTTTTTAAAATAAAAAGCAGCATATATTTATATCTAAAGTAAATGAACTCTTGCATTATCCTGGCTTTAGATGCTGAAGAATAACATTCTGATTCGAGGAACTCACTAAAGTTTCAAAGTAACATACATGTTTTCATGTACAAAGAAAACAGTATCAGCAAAACCAATTTTCATATAAACTGGATTCATACATTGCACAAAACCCTGGCTTGCTGATCTTTGAGCACTGAAGAAACCATAATTGATAGATGTCTATGGAAATTCTCAGTCATCCAGGTCATGGTTACCCCAAAGGTGCTTTTTCAAGAGGCAACTGGACTTTCTGGTTTTTCTTTGAAGACATTTCACTTCTCATCCAAGATGCTTCTTCAGCTCTTATAATTGAGATATAGCAAAGATTTTAGAGGACAACCACACCTTTCTAGACTTTAGGGCTTTTAGAATATCTTCATGAACCTATACTTTTATTAATATTAGTGAATAGTCACAGAATGATTTAATTTTCCTGTAGTAAATGGAAGATGACTGCATGGGCACCGATGGGTGGGGGAACAGGTAAAGGGCAAGTGATACATATATGATGACAATCCCACACATGCTGCGACTGACATACTTGTGTTATACATTCTGAAACAAGTGCATAATTGTGGCTGTGGAAGCCAGGAAAGTCCCCCACCCCTGCTTTAATCCCGCAGGGTGTAAGATCAAAGACAATTGGAGACACATAGTCACCATCAATATACAAGAAAAGGTGCTGAGATTCACTCTCTACAGTACTGATGTGACACTAGTGCAAAAAATGCTTGTTATCACTCACATATCATTGTAGCAGCTGAAGGCTTGCAGCATTTGTGAAACATGTTTCCAAATCACGGCTTCATAAACAGAGAGTTAAGATTTTGGCTCCGAGATTTCCAAGGCTTTGGAAAAGAAAGAGCTCGCAGGGTTATGGGTCTAGAAAGCCCCAGGAAGCAATAGGTTAAATAACTACTACTTTCTACCCTTTGGCTTCAACTTGATTTATCTACTCATTTTGGGGACTCACATCCCCACATAATGGGCTCTTCCTGTGCACGGCCTTTTGTCCTGCATGATCCATTTACTCAGCTCACTCTTCTGCCCGCACCACGCTTCTGTCCTTCCACCTCTTCAGAATCCCGAAGGTGCTTTTTCAGGACTTTCTTGTTTTTTTCTTTGAAGACATTTCACTTCTCATCCAAGAAGCTTCTTCAGCTCTGACTGGATAGTAGGGAATGGAAGGATTGGAATCCTAACCTAGTCTCTTGCAGACAGCTGGTCATTTGCATCATTTTGGAGAGTCGTTGAGGACAACCATATCCTGTGGACAAACATGACCCTGGTGACTGAGAACCTCCATAGATTTTAGTTATGCACTTTGAGATGAACGCCCTCCAAATGGTGTGGAAGTATGAACGGATTTCCAGAAAAATTGTACACTACAGGACCCAGGAACACTACTCAGGTGACCCTGAGGACACAGATAAACCTCCAAGTGCCTCAAGGACCCTCTAAAAGGATGCAAATGACCAGCTGTCTGCAAGGAATATAAATCCTTCCATTCCCCACCATGCAGTCAGAGCTGAAGAAACTTCTTGGATGAGAAGCGAAACGTCTTCAAAGAAAAACCAGAAAGTCCGGTTGCCTCCTGAAAAAGCACCTTTGGGACAACCATGACCTGGATGACTGACAACCTCCATAGACTTCCACCTCTTCGAAAATGCCCTGATGCCTCCGAACCTCCGCCCGGCAACTGGAAGCCAGGACAACCCGGTGTGGGTTGTCTCAAGAGGAGACGTCGCTCCAGGGGCGGCCTCCTCCTCCTCCTCCCTCCTCCTCCTCCTCCTCCTCCTGCTTTCTCGGCACCTGCGAGGCTGAGGCGGGAAGCTTAGAGCGCGCGAGGAAAGTATAAGCGCAGAGATTCCCTTTGCTGACCTTTCGGAGCGGCGAGTTGCTGTTCTGTCATTTCCGGCTTGCCAAAAAAGCCTCTTTTCCGCGCCTTCCCCGCTTGGGTTTTTTTTGGACGGCTGGCTGGTTTTCTCTTCCAAGCTGTTTCTTTGACTCAGAAAGAACAGGTCGGGCTGTCCGAGAGGTTTTGCCGGCCTTTTCGTCTGCGCGAGGGCTTTTTCTTTCCTCGGTTGGCAACTTAACCCGGCCACACGCGTTCTTTTAAACCGGGAGCAGCGCAAATGCTCTAGAAAGCGTTTCCCCAAATGCGGGTTCGCTGCACCTCTCTCCCTTCCCAACGAGGTAGGTGGAAAAAGGACGCTGTAGGAAGAGCGACTGGTGGACGTTTGCTCTTACTCTTAGCCAAATGGAGTAAAAGAATCCAGGGCTTCTTTAAGAATGGGCGAGTTTGGGGGTGAATCTCGGAAAGGAAAGCAAACTGAACTTGGGTCGAAGCCAGGAATCTGCTGCAATCACTTAGTGGGTGGTTTTCCTGCAATGGATTTAAGACTAACTTTCACCAACGCATTCCTTTCTTTCTGGAGAAGATCACTTCTGAAATTTCAAATCCCCCCCTCCCTCCCTCCCTGGATGCTGGTGTAGCTTTTAGGTTGCCACAGGCAATAATTAACAAACGATGCTTCATTACCCGCCTTCTCAAAAGCCTGAGTTTCCAGGCTGAGTTAGGCTGTCTTAACATGGCCATGTTTTCCCTTATGAAGGACTGTCTGTCATTAGCAGTTGCTTAACAGAAGTAGATTTTAAAGACATTGTTTTCTTTTTCATTGTTTCACCTCTATCCTTCAGGCAGCTGTTTAAGGTTTGTTAGTTATGCAGCTGTTTAAAGAGAGACTCTTGATGGAGTAAAAAGTTAATCTCCAGTGTATCTTAATTTTTAAAGAAAATTTATATAGTCACCTATTTGTTCACAGGGACTCTAGATGCCTTACAAGCAATAAAACACAGTATAGATAAAAATAAAAATAATACCTGGTTAAATAATACCTGGTTAAACACAAAGTGCACTAAATTTTAGTGCACTTTGGGGAATAAATAAGCCTCCTTTGTGATGTCCAAACATCCTGCAAATAATTTATAGTTATCCTAACTATGGCATATAAATTTAATTAATTAAATTAAATTAAATTAAACTGCTGTACTGTTTTAGAGAACATACTTGTGAGGTAGGCTACTCTTGTGTCTGTTTGCACCTGGAAATGCTCACTTTTAACAAGTGAGCAAATATTTTGATCTCTTGGTGCTGAATTTGATAACAATGTCTACAGATTTCACTGTCTTAAAACTTTATTTGATGACTATAAAATTTGAGAACGTACAGTTGCAGATATTTTATTTTCTACCTTCTAGGTGAAACACTGCTAGGTGGCAGCACTTAGCCAAACTGAGCTGATCTTGAAAATCTAAGTTTGCTCAGAACAGATTGAGACTACCTACCTAAAAAATAGCACAGGACTTGAACTTTAGTTGAGACTTTTTTTTTTAAATCTTAAGAAGATAGATGTTCTAACCCAACAGCTTGATCAGCTTTTTGGATTCTGTGATGGTATATATAACCTCTGTTCTTGGAGTTTTTAGCTTGCTCCATAAATAGGTACATAATTAAGGAGAATATTATGTGCACTCCAAATTGGAGTTCAGAATAACCTGTTGTTCTTGAGTCAGGATACTTAATCAACTACAGCTCTCCCTATACACTGTGTGTGTGTGTATACATATATATCTATATATCTATATACACACACACATGCACATGTATTTACTTGAAAATACATTCAGAAATCTTTAAAACTTCCTTCTCTCCCTCCTTCCACCCCCTATATTAAAGGTAAAGGTTTCCCTCGCACATATGTGCTAGTCGTTCCCGACTCCATTTCAAAGCCAAACAGCCAGCACTGTTCGAAGACGTCTCCATGGTCATGTGGCTGGCACGACTAAACGCCAAAGGCGCACGGAACGCTGTTAGATAACAATAATTGTTATGACATAACAGTTCCTGATCGTTGATGAGTGATGCATTAACATAGGTAATGTCTTAGCAATGAGCCTCAAGTTTTGTTTAACTTCGTAATTCTCCCTAGAATTATATTCTAGAATTTGCTATGTCCCTATATTTATTTATTTAATTTTAACATTTTAATGGATTTAGTAATAAGGGGCAACAATCTATAGTTTTATGCTGGTTCCAGTTTGTTTCTGTGAATTCCTTGGAAACCTTTTAGAATTCCAGCTTGCTTTTTTAAAAAAGACATGCTTTCCATTCTTTGTAGCTATAGAGATGAGTTTGAAAACACAGCTGCGATGTTATCAAAGGTAATATGTCCCCAAGTAAAGTAATATGTGATTTAGATTTGCATTCAGATTTCAAGATTTCTAAGTTAGCTGATTATGTAAAGGAAATTGTAGCTGGTTAAAATTAGATTGAATTAAAATTAGATATTATGAAATCTAATTTTAACCAGCTACAATTTAGAGTCCCTCCCTCCCTCCACACATTTCCCTGGGAAGATGTGATTTGGCTAACTACTTGCAAATAAATATGCAAATACTTTTATGTTTTTCATTCACAGTACTTTTCCAACATGATTCCTGAGTTTGAACAAATTGCCTGGGCCTTTCTTAGCAAATAAATTGTATGCTAATTAGATTTTTGAATATTGTTTTGTTTTGTTCAACATAATTTTGTTCCAGAATTTCCAGAAAGCAGTTCTGGAATTAAGGCAGAAAATGGTGTATGTTGCAGAATATTAAAAACCAAGGGATGGATCATAAAGTAGTGTTTATGAAAAATGGAAATCCTTGTTCTTTTGAAAGTATCCCTTATAAGAGAGGACACTTATCCACTTATTCTTGCAGTATAATTTTAAGCAGAGTTGCTAAAGCATAAATTCTATTAGTTTAGTCCTCTGCACATACAATTTAAGATTGTATAGTAATTTTTTCTTATTTGTTCTATAATTTATTGGATGACTTTTTGTTGGATAGTGAATGTTGCAAAGCTATATGGTAAAGATACTTTGAGACAAATGTGAGAGGTACAAAATGCTAACTTCCTTGTGAAGTCTCATGCATTAAGGTAGAATTTCTTTGAATGTGTTTTATGAAAATGTACTATTCCAGAAGCAGCTATAGCAGATCTGTGGTGAACTGGGAGATAATAAACATAGCTGTGGTTCACTTCACTTAACAATCAAATTTCTAGTCTCAATCATGGTTGCTAAATAAGGACTATCTATGTGTCTTTGGTTCTGTATAAAATCTAGCATGTTTTCTATCCCTCTCTCCATCTGTCTTTATTTTTAAAAAAGTGAATGTGACACACACCCTAAAAATGCCAGTTTAGACTTATATTTCATTTTTTGACCTAAACTCTGTTTCACAAAAACTAACACCATAATAAATTATATTGATACACAGATGTAACAACTTTAGCATGTCATATATTGGCAGATAACTGTCAATTTAGCTACCGTACCTACAAAATAGAAATGTTCAATTAGTTCTGGTAGCGGTAATAGAATGAAAGTTAGCTTTACTTTTAGATCCTGTAGCAAGTGGAACCTACTTTTATAGAGTGGATAATCTTGTTTAATTGTGCTTGTTCTTTGCCTAAATCAGAGAGCACAATTTCCTTTTGATTCCAGTCACTGAAAATAACAGCGATTTTTGTTTCCATTCCCACTCAAATGAACATATTGCAATTACATGAATTGCAGAGTTTCTTTTATTTGCTGTTTGTAGTTGTTTTAAAGCAGGCTTGGGGAATATTTAGTGTCCAAGGACCTCATGTTCTTATGCTGTGGTATGCTGTGGTAGGAGTCATATTAATTGCAAGCAGGATCTTCTTTTAAAATGAATCTTGCACTTCCCAAAGATTAAGCCAGTATTAAAGCAAGGGGGAAATGACTACCTCCGCATGTTAGTAGCACATTTAGGAACAGGGCCAATCCCAAGAGCCACACGATTATTGTTGTGGAGCTGTGTATGACATGTGGACAGTGGATTACCATCCGTGTGATTAGATATCAGTTTGATAAATCGGTTCCTGATTTGGAGCAGCAGTGACTATAAGAGGATAATAAAACATACATTATGTTTTTTAAAAGCATGGAGTTAGATTCTGGAAATGAGAGATTTTCAGCCTGGCATAGTTTTGAGGGCCATGGATAAGAGATAGTTTGTCACATGTGCTTTGATTAATAATTTAAGTTTTACACACACACACAAACCCTATTCAAGATTGAGTCTGAGCTACATTTAAGGAAGAGAGAAAACGTGGCTGAAAGGTCAGTCCAATCAGCTATGAGTTTGGCATATCCTATTGGAGCCAGCTTCAAAGACTACAGTATTTTTCCCCCCCGTCAAGTATTTATCTTGTCAGTTTACCAAACTTGGCAGTACTGGACCTTTTTATTTCATAACATTCTATACCAAAGGCAAAGCCACCATGAGCTTTTATAACACAAATCCCAACTGGTTTTACTTGAAACTGTACAATACTAATTCTCAGTGGACACCACTCCATTAGATAAATCTTTGCTGACGTGTGTCCCCTGATGTGCAGATCCTACTTCTCCCAACTTTGAGGAAATTGTCCATTCCAGCCAAGAGAAACAAATGTGCTCTTTGTGCACATTTAAGTCTAAATGTTTGGGCTTAGGTCCAAGGTTTCAGATGGGTGATTCAACCCACTCATGAACTCTGCCTTCAATTACTAGCATGCTTGTGAAAGCTCAATTACAGGTAGTCCTCATGTTACAACAGTTTTCATTTAGTGACCGTTCAAAGTTACAACGGTACTGAAAAAAGTGACTTATGACCATTTTTGTTCACATAAGTGTGAACAACAATCACAAGTCACTTTTTTCAGTGCTGCTGTAACTTCAAACGGTTGCTAAATGAACTCTTGTAAGTTGATGACCTACCTGTACAGAGCATGGCTTCTGGAATTCTTTCTTATCCTTTTACCTGCAGAGGCCATATATTTGGAAGCATGGGGCAAACTGCATTTTTAACAATTGCTTCATATGCAAACTTTTAGAAAGCCAAAACGTAGATAGATATTGTTAGACTATCTGGGAGCCAAAAGATGTAAATTCATTTCCTCTCTTTGCTGTTATCTGGTTGCAGAGCTTAAAATAATAAAGCTTAGCTTTATTATTCTCCAGATGGAACAATCAGCAACATTCTGACAGCTGTACAAGTCTTCTGCAATCTCTTTTTACTGCCTATTTCATTGGGCAAATTCTAAGTTTCTTTCTATGTCCATTACTCAGCTGTGGGCA